GTTAAATTTATGTTCTAGGTAAAACTCCAAAAAGTTGTCGAGTCACAACATTTTGTAGGGATCAATTTCTAGATATTTGACATAGCGCAACATTACCACGTACTACCTTGAACCGCTTGGGTCCTGGTAAGGATGCCGCGCGCGTGACACCATCAATACCTCTTTCGCTGCCCTCGTCGAAACTAGGGTGAGTTTATATACAGCAGGGAGGAGGAATCATGTCTATAAGTTAACTGCTCTCAGAAGAAGTTGATTCAATAATCGCGGAGCTGTTGTTATTTCTGTACCAGTTGTACCTCTGCAAAATCCTTACACTTCATCTCTTGTTGGCAACATCTTGTTCTGTGAGAAAATTTGAACATTGTGGATATCTTTAAATTGTGGTCCAGCAATCTATCGAACTGTAGGGATGCCTCCGTTCCTGCTATCAGGATATGATTTTGGAAGAGTGCCAATGTATGGATCCACGGTATCCAGTGGCCCCAGGTGCAATAACATGCGAACTCGCAAAAAGTGAGTGAACTTGCAGATCCATTTTTTACAGGCAAAGAGTGTTTTTTAGGATCATGCATTGACGAAGCTGTCGCCAAACATGGAGATCCCTCGACTTGGGACTCCTGTGTCTGTCCCTTGCCATGTACCAACCAACAGTACTCTGTCGAGTGGCATCGAACTCAATCCGCTTCGGAGGTCTTTAACAATTTTTGTTATTCTCGGGATGCGCCGTGCATTATATCTCCCTCTTAAACTGTAGAGGCATGTTCAATGCGTTTCGGCTGTATAATACCAGCGAATGGCATCAGAATGGGTGAAATGGTGCTAGTACTCAACCCGTCTTCCCTAAACTGTCCTCTTCGGTATAACCCCTGCACTGTCCTCTGACGGGTTTCACAGCCCGCTTACCAGCTGATCTGTCACTCGCAACTTTCGCAGTCCAGCGAGAAGGGGAGGGGGTAGATTCCTTTCATCAACTATCAGAACTAGTTGAAACAGGGAACATTCTGTCAAACACGGCCCCCTCTCTCCCCTCTCGCTTCCCCATGATACCCACCACCTTACTTGGCTTTTTTCACACTCTACCTCAATTTTTCTAGAACTTTTGTCTTCTAGTTGGGTTATCAAACTAAAACGAACAGAGAGCCTTTAATTATCAAAAAAACGCAGACCCCCCTTTCCCTTTTCCGCCTCCAAACGACCGAAGTTCGACCCCTTGCTGGGGATTCAAAGCGCCCTGCTGTGATGATGTGAAACAGGGAACATTCTGATGTGCAGCGCCACATACTAAAGGGCTTATATATAGCGCTCGTGCAATGAGAAAGTGGTTGCCGACCAACAATGCCATGCCCTGTATACAATAACTTTTGGGGTCCGCGGAGACAGTTGGGCTCCTTGTCAGATATTGTGCAGGTCGTAGTTTTTGGAGATCGGCATCTCTAATCCTCAGACGAGTCGTATGCCAGTTATCCGATCCCGGAAGAACGGTGAGCCTCGATTCCATGGACAAAACCTTGGCCAACTTAACATCCCATCCCTTCGGAATCGGCAGTTTTTCTGGACATGGAATCTGGAAGTTTTTCTGGAACTTACATTTATTACTCGTCAAGAAACCACGAATTCACTGAATATTACAGGCAGTACGATGCATGAATTCGTCTATAAATGACTGTGAAGCTCTTGCACAAGATGACGTTTTAATCACCGTTACTTTACCTCGCTTGGAGTACCAGGTGTTTGGAGAAACTCCGACTATGGACGTAAGTAACATTCTGGTTTACAGTCATGATCCCTGCAAACAGAGGGCATGTGACAGGGGCGGGGATGAGCGTTGCCAAGGCGGTGTTTCCATCAATGATGCCATCTTCAGTCTGCAGCTATTGGCAGGAAGTGTTGTTCCGGCTGCGATCCAACTTCACGCCCCCGTCGGACGCCCTATCGTTTGCTGGTTTAAAGACACATGGTACGCTCGAACACATTGAGGGTGTATGAGACTATCAGCCCCCAGCTGTCGATGTGTCGTGGTCCCCCGCCCAAAACTGCACGGGGTCAGAGTACGGGGCCGTGGGAAAGTCGTAATTCCTTGCTACGCCGCCCGTTTCGCAAACTCACGTTTTTACTAACACCGTCCGCGCGGCGCGGTCGCGTGCAGCTCTCTTGGCTTTTTGCCAAGTCCTGTAATTGCGCTTTGGAATACAAGTACAACGCAATTTCTTTATG